TGGGCCAGGTCCTGTGGGATTCATGCTGGGCAGCAGGAATGCAGTCCATCACCTCCCACACCCTAAAAGAACTCCCACGTTGCTCTTTTCCTGCTGTGGGATGCAGCTGGATGCATTTCTGCTTTTCCAGAACTGCTGAATTTCCCTGCAAAACTCTGCAGGTGCGATGCCTGCAGGGGACTCAGGGCTTTCCAACTAGATCCAGGGGAAGCAGAAACCTCAGTGGTGCTGCACAGGGAAAGAGAGAAACTGTCCCTGCCTGTGTGCCCGTGTGCCCAAGCCAGTCAGGCACTGCCAGCCCCACAGTGAGGGGACTCACAGGATGGGTCCTCACTGCAACCAGGCACAACCTGCCCCATCAGCCCTGCCAGGGAAGCACAGCACCCACGGCCCTGTGGCAGCTACAAACACACAGCCTTTGAGCTCAGACATGTATTTATTTGCTCTCTGGTGGAAGACATCACTGGGAACATGTCCTCCCGCCCCACTTGCTTCCAGCAGGGGTGTGGGGACACCAGTTCCCACTCAGCAGCACCCTGGGGGACCACAAGTGCCACCAAGACAGCTGGCAGGACCTGGGGCTCTCAGCCGCTCCAGCAGCTGGAAGGGATCACAGATCTTCTCCTGAATGACAGAGAAAAACCCAGGGCAGGATCAGGCCAGTGGGAAGCAAGAGGCACCTGAGAAAGTGGCACTTGGCACTTCCTTAGCTACCATGGGGGGCAGCCTCTGGGTCACTCCAGCTGCTTTTTCCTGCAGCAAGAAGCCAAGAGCTTGTCTGGGACTTTGGCTCTGCCTTTATCTGAGAAATGCCTCCTGCTTGGACAGAGTCCTGAGAAAATCTCCCCTTCCTAAGCACGAGGCTGCATTTCAGGGATACGCAGCTGCAGGGTGTTATCTCCCTTGTATCTCCTGGCCCATCTACAGGCTGCAGGGACCACCAAGGAGAAGAGATAGGTTTCCAGCAGATAGAATGTTTTGTGCTGCAGGGTCAGGGTTGGCAGCCAGGGCCAACCTAATCTTCCATCAGCAGGCAGGAGAGCAATGGGCAGGAAGAAACCGTGGGGATGGGCCATCATCTCCCTGGGGCAAGCTTTGCACAGCAATCCCCTCAGGGGAAGGATGACTCCCCTTGGGAGACCTCAGAGGAGTCCAGCTGTCAGCCTCGCCAGTTCCCATGGACATGTTGGAGTGGTTAGAGCAGATCCCCCTTTGGAGGGCTCCAACTTGGGTAGGGGTACAGTTTGTCCCAACTCAGGCACCAGGCACCACTCTTGGTTTCCCACAAGCTCCTGCGCAGCCCAGAAGGAGTCAGGTGTCTTGGTATCATGCTACAGCCCTGCTGATACCTCATAGCAACTCTGATGTCCCAATTCCTTAACCCAGCCACGGAGCTGCCCTCTACCAACCTTCACTCTCTTGCCACAGCAGCCCTGCGGTGCTGCAGCATTTGCTCCACCAGCTTGGATCAGGAACTTCTCCGCAAACCTGGAGCTCTGCAAGATTGCAGCCATCTCAGCATCCACATCCACCACCTCTCCTTCCTGGGGACAGAGGAATGGTCACAGGTCTGGGGTCCTAGATGTGTGTCCCAGGGGATTCCAGCCACCCAGACAGATGATGGGGAGAGTGAAAGCAGGAGCACATCTTGGCCCAAAATCTGAAGAAACACTCACAAAACCCAAGCACTAGGCTTCAAACCATTCTGGGAAGCCACCATGGATGTTCTACTTCTACCTTTATCGCAAAGCAATGGATGCATCTGTCTCCCTTTCCTGTACATTTGCACTCCCCTGGGTTGACACAGCCCCTCGGCTCCCACCCACCATCCCCTCCACCAAAGCTTGCCCCCCAGATCACAGAGGATGCTGCTGAGTAGCAGCTTCATCAGCTTTAACTCTTCCCTACAGAGCCCCAGCATGCCTCCCCAAACCTTGAAGGTGAAGTTGGCATCAAACACCAGCTGTCGCTCATGCCCCACAATCCCGCCATGGTAGGTGACCCGTCCTGGCCCCGTCCGGCTGGCACCCGGCACCTTGAACAGGCGGTAAGTTGCGGAAACAAAGCGGCAGTCGCCTGCAAGGGAGAGGTTGGTGGCTTGGGCACTCAACACCTGGGCTGGGATCCCAGCAGAGCTTCCCACAGCCCACACTCCCTGGCTGCATCCTCACCGACAATGCCCTCCAGCTCCTTGTCGCCAATGGTGATGGGGCTAGCGGTGACCAGGCATGGGGGGCTGAACCCCACCTCCTCAGCAATGCTGTACAGGTCTCTCCAGTACAGGGCTCCTGCCAGGCATTCTCCTGGTACGAGACCACAGACACGGGGGATGGAGGCAAAGGTGCAGTCCCCCTGTGCCACATCACCCCCGTCCCACAGCCCTACGCACCCCACAACACCCGGTGCTTCCGGATGCTCTCGCTCAGGCGCTGGCTGGCATAGACATCACTGAAGTACATCTCTCCCCCGGGCTGGAGGGCAGCAAGGAGTGAAGGGAGGCCTCAAGAAGCAAAGAGACAAAAGGGGCAAGGAGAATTGGGAACCGCCTAATCCTACCCTGCTTGGGACCCTCCGCAGAGATGCCCTCCCCTCATCCCATCCTGCATCCATGCCTTGCCAGATCCCATTTGCTGCTTCTCAGTGGCACTCCAACAACAGTACCACCCCCAGCCTGCTTTGCTGCTACAGGCATGAGCCCACCATCACCTTCAGCACACGGAAGGCCTCCTGCAGCACAGCCCTCTTGTCAGGGGCAAGGTTGATCACGCAGTTGGAGCTGCAGGAGAGGAGACCAAGGCTTATTTGCACCCTCTTGCACACATAGCACCACCAGCTGCTGTGTATCCCATCGCTTCACACAGGATTTGAAAACACCAATTTGACCACGAAAAGGGCAGTTTATATTCTCAGACTAGCCCAGACTCTGGCTTGGGATTTCCCTTTTGCTGACACGTGCTTCTGAAGCAGTGACCCATTGGGATGCAGACCCAGCCCACAGCCCTGGGAAGCAGCAGGATTGGGGGTGACTGTGCCCTGCATGGCACCTACATGACAATATCATAGCTCTCATCAGCCAGCCCAGCATCACCCAGCTTCTCCATGTAACCATGGAAGAACTCCACGTTCGGCTTTCGGTAGCCAAACTTATCCATGTGGTAGGCAATGTGCTTCTTCGCCACCTCAACCTGGCAGGAGGAAGGAAATGATGTGGGGGAGCTGCTGCAAGGATGAAGGGGAGCCCCAGATCCGTGCCGTACTTGGCCCTCGGTCATGTCTATCCCGGTGACGTGGCCCTGCTCCCCGACCAGCTGGCTCAGCAGGTAGCAGTCCCTGCCGCTGCCGCTGCCCAGGTCCAGAATCCAGCACGAGGACAGGCACTCAGGGATCACCAGGCCGCAGCCGTAGTACCTGGGGGGATGCTGAGCTGAGCTGGGTGGAGGTGCCCATGGCACAGCCAAGAAGGGGCTGCAGCCCACAGGGATGTGGCAGTGGAGGAGAGACCCTGGGGTTTACCTGGCCATCACCTCCTCATGGATGTGCTCCAGAGCATCTCTCACCAGCTTCGAGACAGGCCTGGCTGAGGTGATGCACGCATTGGTTTTGAGGTCCTCTGACTTCTGCAGCTCTTTGCCGTAGTAGTCCTGAGATGGGAAGGGCAGAGGCCACTAAACTAAATTGTGCCAAGTTGAGCCCTGGGAGCTCCCTATGCTCTAAAACTTGGGGGCCATGCCTGCACTTGGCCTGTACATGTGCACACGTCCTCTGGCACTGGGACTCTCATTTTCACCTAGCCAAAAACTACAGTAAGATCAGGCATCCCTTTGTCACCATCCTCCCCAGCTCCCTTTGCTCATATGCACTGATGTGTTTGGGCAGGAGGGAATTTAATTCCCATTTTCAGTAACTTTGCAGGCTGCAGCCACCATTTCGCTGGCTGAGAAGGGTACAGGGAACAAGGACAGGGAAATGCCAGGTTGCTCCACCCCCCATTCCTGTGTGAAATAGGAGCAAAGCTACCAAGTGCACCTGGCATTTTCATCTGGGCCCAGAAACAAGCTTTATCCTCTAATGGCAGCAGAAACTCTAGCATAGCCCAACAGCCCCATCCCTCCCCAGCTCCCATCCACACTCCTCACCTGCACCTCCTGGTGGATCTGCTCTCCGATGGGAGCTGCCACTGCAAGGGGAATGTGGGGCTGGCGGCTGACACCACAGAGACGGGCACCACACCAGGTCCTCCCAAGTCCTGAATCCCCCTCTTCCCCCAGGTACCACAGCACCTTTTGCTCTCCCTCAGCAGAACGCTGAAAATCCTCCCAAACTTGCAGTCTAATAGGGTGCTCCAGGGGGCAGCTGACAACATCCCTCCAACCCCAAAAATCCAGTCCCAGCTGCCCTGGAGAGATGAGCCCCCAAAGCATCCCTGTAGGGTAAACCCCCCTCCCCTGCTTAGCAGAGCCCTTGGCCCAAGGGCAGCCCCAGCAGCCCCGGCAGAGGCCCTGGGCTCTCTTACTGCCTCCAGCTGCAGGGCCTCAGCCGGACTCTGCCCAGCCCAGCCACGCTCCTCCCCAGTATCCTGTGCTGTCCCAGCATCCCACGCTGCCCGGGCCAGCCTTCCGCCCTGGCACACGGCCCCGCGGGCACAGGCACAGCGAGGCTGCTGGCCCCGCTCCCGTGCTGAGCACGCTGCCATCATCCATGGTTCTTGCCGCACCCACACCCCCAAAACCCACCCTGCCGCCTGCTCCCCAACAGCTCTGCACCTCGGCAAAGCAGCCCTGCCCCTGCTTGTCCCAGAGGCAGGGAGACACAAATTTAATGCCACGGGACTGCTGTAGCCTCTGCAGAGGACTTTGGAAGGGAAGAGCCACCTGCAGCAAGGTCACACTGCCTCTGCAAAGCCCTCTCAGCTGAAGCAGAATGGGAGATCCTGGGGGGAAGAGAACCACCATCCCAAACAGCCTCCCCAGTGCAACAGAATCCAGGACAGACTGCTGCAGTTTGGTGGTGTTCAGGACAGCTTTTATTCCCAGCAAGAAAATCACAGGGAAAACTCTCATTCCCAAAGTCCACCTGCAAAGCTGAGGTCAGAATGTCACCCAAGGCAAAAATACTGGCAGGGATGGTGAAATCTAGTCTGAGAAGGCTCTGCAGCACAGGAGCCAGTCTCCAACAGCATTCCAACAGGAATGTGGCAGGCCCGTGTCGGCTCTCAGCCTGCCTGCTCCTATCAGCTGGTGAAAAGCACACTCAGGGAAACAAGTGCTTCCCGTGCACTCCAAGTGCTCCAGATAAGTGACTTACCAAAAACAAGACACAGTATTTATAGCTGGTCCTGGATGTGAACAGCTCACTAGCCTTCAACAGAGCAGTGCAGAACTGAGCACACCAGCTCCTGATGCTCTCCTGCCTGCTTCCCAGACGGGCCTTTGGATACCTTCCCAACCAGATATAAACACACACCACAGCCAAGGCTGCTTCATCAAAAGCTGGAGCAGCAGCCCAGGAGAAGGAATGCAGTTGAAGGCTGAATGCAGCACATGTGGGCTGGCAAAGGGATGATGTTCCAAACTCTGGCAGAGAGGAAAATAAGATAACCTCTGAGGAGGATGATGGCCAAACCACATTCAGCTAGGCCATTGGCAGATGTGTGTTCTTAGATTCCTGATCTCAGAAATTCTGTGCTGGGACTGGCACCTCAGCCTACACTGAAGCACCTCTCCTCTGCCCAGGCACTTGCAGCTCACACTGATTAAAATGCCCTAAATAAACTGCACTCTGTGCCACCTCTGCGGCTAAATACAGAGCAGTGGCACACTGCAGGCACCTGCATTTAAACACCATGCCTCAACTCTGCATTTCTTGCCAAGGGTGCTGGGGTGGGCTGAGCACTTCACGCTACATGGGAAGTAAGCAGACACAGGAATTATTGGGAAGAGCAAAGTTTCAGGGAAGTTTGTTTCAGCCAGGTGCAGGTGTGCACTCTGGAGCAGAGGTGTGGATGCAGGCACACGAGAGGGGGCCACGTGCCCAGAAGCACAGACTCTGCACATATCCCAGCTGACATCCAGCATCATCCAGACATAGTTCTGAGCCCCAGGAGCTGGAAGGGGGAGAACACTTCACTCCCTCAGTGCTGGTTGAGGTTCCTCAAGCTTTCGGCTCCCCTTCATTTCAGCAAGTGACTCAGCTGGTCCTGAAGGTTTGACGAGCGCTCCACGCTGGGCACCGAGAACAAAGAGATTCATGGTGAGATCTGCTCCCAGACTGTGCTGTGCTGCCTGTGCCCAAGGGACCAGAGCAGCTCTAGAGCTGACACTACAGCAAAGAGAAACCCTGGGGTCCCCAGACCCCCCTCTGTGTCCCCACACAGGAAACCTCACTTCATGCACCCTGCTGTACACAGCTCTGCTCCCACCACCCTCATCTCCTCTCACAAGCAACTTCACATGCTCTATCACATCAGTGAAACAAAAGGAAGCTTGGGTATGAATCCCATCTCTTCACTCAAATTCCCATCTCTTCAAAATACTGAATTGTTATCCTGCTGGGCCAGCATCTGCCTCAAAGGCAGCTGCAAAAATCTTTGCATTCTGCTTTCCCCCATCCAACTCCATCACCTTCCCCTTTCTACCCCCACATGCATGTCCCCCAGGTGCTCCCAGAACTCACTTCTTTTGAATTGCTTCTTGCCTAGATGAGAAAAGGAAAGACAAAAAAGAGCATTAGAAAAACAAAATCTCAGTCACGGTTTGTATTAACTCAAACAAGGGCTCAAGAGACCAAAACTCCAGGATGTTTCTGGATTAAGTTCTGGGGGACAGAAGCAGCACTGGCTTCTCCTTCTTAGTCCCAGGTGCATAATAACACTCATGGGAGACACAGTGCATGGCAAACAGGAGGCAAAAATTTCAGCTCCCACCCCAAAACAGCCTGAAAAGGGCTGGAAAATTCCAGCTCCAAGGCCAGTTCAGCTTTGAAGAACTGCAAAAGAGAGATCAGTCTGAGCTGGCAGGTTCATGCAAAGTCTTTAAGGAGAACAGAGAAGGACTGAGGGATCCACTCAGCCCCCAAGAGAGAACGCCTACTTACTGGTACTGTAGATGAGTAGTTATTATGGCCATTTTTCTTAAACTCTGTGGAGAACGAAACAAAGAATGAATGCCTACAGAAATCACAGTGCAGCTGTCCTAATGCCCTGGGGGTTCCTCCAGCACAGCCACCACTCTGTTGCTGCACTGACTGCAAAACACCCCTGCTGGTATCTGTCAGCAGTGGCACATTTCCTTCTCCTTTCCCAGTGACAGAGTGCTTTGTTTCAGCCCACAGGCCCTCAAGCTTTCTGTCAGAGAGGGCACAGCTTGAGGGCTGGCCGGCCCGCAGGACACCAGGAGTCCAGCAGCACTGGGTCTGAGGAAGCACTAAATGATTCTGGCCACCAGCCCTGCTGCCTGAAGGAATGTATTTGACTCCACGGCTCCGGCAGCACGGCTGCAAACTGTTCTTACCACCCTCCTCTCCTCCCGTCCCTAGAAACGCTGCTGCTCGAGCACAAGACACAGCTTACATCTTCCGAGTGCAGGATGGCATCTTCTTGCATCACCATGTTTCTCGCAGCTTGACCCAGCAGCTACAAGACAGACGTACAGACCAGGCTGAGACGCTGCACTTTGCGTTTCCCGAGGCCCCCGTGGCGGCGGGCAGGGTGACACTCGGGGTGACACCGTGCGGGGATCACCGCGGAGCCGTGACAGCACACCCATGGGGAGCGCCTGAGGCACCGCGCCCACCTGTCACCATGAGGAGCTGGCAGTCGCCCTCCCGCCTGCCACCGCCGGGGTCCCGAGGCGCTGCCCAGCCGTGCCCGCATTCCGGTCCCGCTGTCCCGGTCCCTGCCCGGACACAAGGATGTGTCCCCTCCTCGGACTACAGCTCCCAGCATGCATTGCGCCGCCCCCCCAGCTCCGCTCCGGCCCTGTAATCGGCCGCCCGCCGGCACCCGCCGCTCACCTCGGCGCTACGAGAGCCCTTCAGCACCTGCTTAGTGAGAGCGATCACGTCGGTGCCGCAGCTTGTCACCTTCTCGGTCAGGAGCCCCTTCACCGAGTGGCCAAAGCGCGCCTGGGCATCCGCCGCGCCCCCCGCCGCCATCTTACCCCGCCCGTGCCCCGCCCCGCCCACCCCCGGGAGCCGCTACGGCGAGCGTCGGGGGCCTTAATACTCGGAAAGGCGCAGAGCCCGCAATGATCGGGGATCCTGCTGGGAGGGGCGTCAGTTTCCAAAGGACTCCCCCGATGAGGACAACTCATTGCCTCGGGCACAGACACCCACGGGCTGCCCAGCACTGCCAAGCACAGACCAAAGCTGACCAGGGTTTCTCAACACTGCCCAGGGCTGACCAGCGCTGACCAGGGTTTCTCAGCCCTGGCCAGTACTTGGCCTGTACTGACCAGGGTTGACCAATGGTACCAGGGGGTGACCGGCGCTCACCAGCACTGTCGAGGGCTGCCCAGCAGTGTCCAGTGCTATCCGTGTCTCCCCAGCACTGACAAGAGCTCATGATGATGGATGCTCTGCGCTTACCAACATTTCTAGTGCTGCCCATTCCCTCCCGGATCTGTCGAGGCGCTCCCCGGCTGCGGATGGATTCCAGTGCCCCGCCAGAGCCCCCAGCTGTGCTCACGGCACCCACGACAGACCTCGAGCTGTCCCCACACCCCTGGCCCACCACAGGGCCCTGGGGACGGAACCCCAAGGACGGCTCCGACCCCGGGCATCCCCGGCCCCCAGCGCCTGGAAGCTGCTCCCCCATGGCCACCCAGGCTGGCCGTGGCCCCGCTGCCCTCGCCCCCCGCCATGCGCCCACAGCTGCAGAGCTGGCCAGGGGCCCAGCGCCCGGCTCCCCCTCCCTGTCCCCCCGATAAGGAGCCGAGCCCGCCTCAGAGTCAAGGAGACGACCCCGCAGCCGCTATAAGGGCCCCCCGCGCGCGGCGGCCCCGCAGCCGGCCCCGCCATGGCGCTGCTGGGTGCCCTGCTGCTGGCCCTGGCCCTGCTCTGCACCTGGCGCCTGGCGCGCCGCAGGGACACGCTGCCAATGGCCGCGGCCACGGGCCTGGGGCGCCCGCGGAGCCTGCCGGCCCTGCCGCTGGTGGGGAGCCTGCTGCAGCTGGCCGGGCACCCCCAGCTCCACCTGCGGCTGTGGCGCCTGCAGGGACACTACGGCAGCCTCTACGCCCTCTGGATGGGCTCCCACTACGTGGTGGTGGTGAACAGCTACCGGCACGCCAGGGAGGTGCTGCTGAAGAAGGGCAAAGACTTCGCCGGACGGCCCCGCACCGTGAGTCGGCAGCAGGTCTTGGGGACCCCTTCCCACTGTGGCGTGGGGTGAGGAGGGGGACGCTCCCGAGGAAGAGACTGGCACGCAGCAGGGTCCGCGTCCCCTCCCCATCCTGCCTGCAGCGAGCCAGGGGCAGGCGGCCCCTCCACGCCCTGCTCCCCTGGGGAGCCCGGCCATCCTCCAGCCCAGGGCTGCCTGCTTTTCCTGCAGCTGGCTGCATCCCTGGGCACGGGGATGTGGGTTCAGCTACTACCAGGCTCCCTGCACCCCTTAAGTTCCCTGAGCATTCCCTAAGCCCCTAACCTTTGCATCTGTCCCCAAAACTCTTTATCAGTCCTTGGCAGGGGGAAAGCAAACCTCACGTCCTGTGCTTTGCCTGCCTGCATTAACCTCTAGCCCCCCGGACCATTTGTGGGATGGGGTGAGATGATCATCCATCCCCGCGGGGCTGCCCTGCAGCGGGATGACCCTGCCTGTCCCTCAGGTGACCACGGACCTGCTGTCGCGGGGGGGCAAGGACATCGCCTTTGCCAGCTACGGGCCCCTCTGGAAGTTCCAGCGCAAGCTGGTGCACACTGCCCTCTCCATGTTCGGGGAGGGCTCGCTCGCCCTCGAGAGGATCAGTAAGTGCCTCCCTCCAGCCCCTGGCTCCCTCCCAGCTCTGGTTCCCTCCCACGCTGTACTTTTTCTTCTTAAGTGCCCCGATTCCCTGCGAACGAAGGAAAGACAGTGGCTCAGCCCGTGTCCCCTGGTATCCCTTCAGCTTGCCAGGCAAGGGCTCTGTCCCTCTCCTCATATCCCCTGTACTTTACCAACACCTCTCCATGTGTTTTCTACCCTGAACTTTAGTTCCCCTCACTCACAGATGGGGAGAGTGAGGCATGGAGCCAGCTCCCCGCTCCACCCAGAAGAACATCCTTGCACATCTCCGTTGTTCTCTCTGCTCCTCCCTAGCACCCAGCATTGTCCCTTCTGCCCATCCCAGCCCCTCCGGGCCCAGCCCTGTCTGGGGCGTGCCCTCTGCAGTCTGCACACCCTGTATGAGCAGGGGACCCCTCCCCCAGCTGCCCCTTTCACCCCCTTGGCATAATCATCACTCCCTGATCACCCCCTGGCCTGCCTGTCCCCCACCCAGTCTGCCGGGAGGCTGCATCCCTGTGCGAGACGCTCAGCGCTGCGCAGGACACGGCCCTGGACATGGCCCCCGAGCTCACACGGGCTGTCACCAACGTGGTGTGCTCCCTCTGCTTCAACTCCTCATACCGGCGTGGGGACCCCGAGTTCGAAGCCATGCTGGAGTACAGCCAGGGTATTGTGGACACCGTGGCCAAGGAGAGCTTGGTGGACATCTTTCCCTGGCTCCAGGTGAGCAGGAACATGGGCACTGCCCATTCCTCTCACCTCAGATGAGAGGAAGGAGCTGGGATGTGTCCTGTAGGAGCATCCCTGTCCTGGTGACCCACAAGAGCCAGTACACTGGTGGGCACAGAGTGACTGCCTGGGGGGCTGCAGGGGCTGGGCTGGGCTGAGCTGTAGACTGTTGTAATGTGCTTTTCTCCCTCAGGTATTTCCCAACAAGGACCTGACCCTGCTGAAGAAATGCCTCCAGGTCCGGGACCAGCTGCTCCAGCAGAAATTCACGGAACACAAGGTGCCAGCAGGGCCAGGACAGGGAGATGCTGGGGCTGGGGTGGTGGGCACTGTGTCCAAGACAGCCTGGCTCATGCATGTCCCTCGGCAGGAAGCTTTCTGTGGAGACACGGTGAAGGACCTCATGGATGCCCTCCTGCAAGTGCGGCTCAGTGCTGAGAACAGCAGCCCTCTGGAGCCAGGGCTGGAGCTGACTGACGACCACCTCCTCATGACGGTGGGGGACATCTTTGGGGCCGGTGTGGAGACCACCACGACTGTGCTCAAATGGGCTGTGCTCTACCTGCTCCACTACCCTGAGGTAGGGTCTGCACCCTACAGCAGGGGCTTGGGTTCCCTCCAGCACCAGGGACATCGTGGGGAGTTTTGGGAAAGGCAGGGGCCAAAAGGGAAGTCAGGCTCTGCAGATAAGCAGGATCAGGCTGTGGCCACTTCTGCCCCACACAAGCTGACAGGACATGCTGATGATGCTGGGTGTACCCCACTGTGCACAGGGCACCTTGCTCCCTGGGCTCCCACAATGGTCTTTGCTTTCCTCCCAGATCCAGAGGAAGATCCAGGAGGAGATGGACCACAAGATCGGCCTGGTGCGTCACCCCCACCTCAGCGACCGCTCGCTGCTGCCCTACCTGGAGGCCACCATCAGCGAGGTGCTGCGCATCCGGCCCGTGTCCCCCCTGCTCATCCCACACGTGTCCCTTGCCGACACCAGGTGAGCCCCCTGGGGCACATCCAGGTCATGGGCAGAGACCATGGGGAGGGAGCCACTGCCTCACTCTGTGTCCACTTTGCAGCATTGGGGAATACTCCATCCCCAAGGGGGCCAGGGTCATCATCAACCTCTGGTCTGTGCACCACGACGAGAAGGAGTGGGACAAGCCTGAGGAGTTCAATCCTGGTGGGTTGTGTGATCCTCATTCCCTCCTGGGCTGGGGGATGGCCGGATGGGTGCAGCAGGAGAGGCAGAGCCCTGGGGGAGGCTTGGTGCTGGGAGATTGGATCCTGCTCCTGCCTGCCTGGGGCATTCGCACCTCTTGGTCCTGCAGCTCCTGGGAAGGACACACGTGATGAACTCGGGTCTCAGGCAGAAGGGTCAGCCTGCTGATGCCAGTGGTGCCCCTTCCCCTTGCAGGCCGCTTCCTGGATGAGCGGGGCCAGCACATCCATTCACCCTCACCCAGCTACCTCCCGTTCGGAGCTGGGATCCGTGTCTGCCTGGGAAAAGTCCTGGCCAAGATGGAGCTCTTCCTCTTCCTGGCCTGGGTGCTGCAGAGGTTCACACTGGAGTGCCCTGAGGACCAGCCCCTGCCCTCGCTGGAGGGCAAGTTTGGTGTTGTGCTGCAGGTGCAGAAGTTTCAGGTGAAGGCCAGGCTGAGGGAGGCCTGGAGAGCGGCCTCATGATGGGGAGGAGCCCTGGATCCCAGGCAGGAGGGTGGGACCACAGAGGCTGCCCCATGGATGGGGGGTTATCCAGATAAAGCTACTCCAAACACAGCACGGCTCTGGCTATTTTTTGGGCAGGAGATGGAGGACAGGGTTAAGTGTGAGATGTATGGTGGCCCCACAACGTGCTGGGAGCACTGGGCTCAGCTGGGAGGCTGTGGCCTCTCTGCAGCAGCGTGGCAGCTCCTGCCTGCTCACTATCCTGAGCACTCACTGGCTGGCTGGATTTTGGCCATCGCTCCAGCAGCAGCAGCAGCACAACCTTCCTGTAACGCAAGGGGCCGTGTTTGCTTTGCTTTTGCCAAAAACTACTGTGCCACGGAGGGCAGCGTGTAATTAGGTTTCTGGTTCTCTATTACTTGACCTCTTAATATTTAACTAAATAGCTGCACAGCTATGTCTCAGGGCCCCTGGAGGGAAAGCAGCCAGGGCAGAGGGGAAAGCCCCACAGAGCCCCATCGCAATGTGACACTCCAGCCCTGCACACCCCCTCATTTTCACCCTGCCCTCTCTGTTGCTAGCAGGCAGGAAAACAGACAGAAACTTCCCCACCACTGAACCTCCTGCTCAGTGTGTACGAGTTCTTTCAAAGCCCCAGTACCTGGCTTTCATGCAGCTCCTTCAACACCTGCATCCAGTGCCAAATGGGTCCTGTCAGCCTGTGGCACGAGGGTGATGATGAAGGCAATGCATTTGCAGCCTGGCACAGCACTGGGAGCATCCTCTCTCCTCCCAGTCCCTTTTCCTGGGAGCTCAGGTTGGTAGGGAGGAGCTGGAGCAAGAACTGCCATGCACATACCTGTCCCAAAGGCAATCCTCAGGCTGATTTGAGCAGCTGACCCACCAGAAGCCGGGCAGAGGGAGCACAGCAGGAGCCCAGCCCCACTGCTGCTGCAGAGTCTCTGACGGCCTCTAAGGGCTGAACCCCACAAACTCTCCTGCTTTCCTGCCTGTTTCCATCACACCAGGGGTGCCACTGGGTTTCCAATCCCTCTGCTTCTGCTACAACCCACTGTATGGGTGAAGGGGGACGGGACTCAGAACGAGCTTTGGGAAAACTTGGCTAGACACGATGCCCTGGGCTTCCCTGGGGATTGGCACTTCCATGCCAGCCTTGTCCTTCCCCTGCCCCAAATCCTGTCACTGGCAGCACACACTGGCAGGGAGGCTCCAGTACACTCTCCTGTAACATTGTGATGCCTCCAGGAGCATCAACAGGTCCTCCAGCACATTTGTACCCCTTTGCCAAGGCATTTGATTTTGCTCTTGGTAAGGGAAAGGATTTTCTCCTTGCCAGAATCAACACGGGGCCGACACCTTGCTGTTTGCCAACGCACCCACACAAGTGCTAAATGCACCTTGGGGCAGAAATGGGGACCTTTAACCAGGGATGTTTCTAACCTGCAGAATGCCTCCAGCCACAGCATCTTGCAATCCACCTTCCCCATTTGCCAGGGCTGGCATGTGCTGTCCTAGGCTGGGAGACCAGCACGTGCTGCAAATCCCAGCAGCCCGAGCTGGCCCTGCTGCAGGGTGTCTTGCCCCCTACCCAGCCCACCTCCTTCCCACCGGGAGAAGATGCTGCTGGGGAAATTCAGCGCCCAGAACCAGCTGCCTGGCACTTTGTAGCTGGTAAACAGCCCCTGGCACGGCTGCTCCCTGCTCTGGGAGTGGGCAGAGGCACTGCTGAATCACCTGGCTGGTATTTCTATCCTGACAGCTGCTCTGGGGCTGAGCTGCTGCACCCAAACCCCTGCTCCACCAGAAAGCTTCACCTGGGCCACTGGCTCCAGCTCCCTGAGGCAAAGGGGGTCTGTGAGGGAGAACTGGTGACGATGGAAAGAATGAAGGTTTTTCATTCCCACACTGTTTCTCGGGTACACCATGAAGCAGATGTGTAGCTTGCTGAGGGCACTGGGCAGAGCAAGCCCGAGCAAAGGCTTTTTTCCATTGCACAAACTCATTTTGGGGGGCACAGCCACCCCCACAGCACTTGGCTGACCCAGCTGCACCACAGGGCTCAGCTCAGAAGCCCTCCAAGTTTGAGAGGCTTGTCTTTGCACCAGGCACCGGCTGACCCTGGACTGTGCCGGAGCCTGCCGGCCAGCCCAGGAGGAGCAGGACACGCTTGGAATACCTGCGGGCTCTGCACCGGGCGTGGGGCCAGGAGAGCTGAGTAAGCACAGACCTCAGGACACAGCTGTTTGCCGGTCGAAAACAAACGGAGAAAGAAGCCGGCAGCCTGTGGCCCCCCGGCACAGAGACTGCAGTGCTTGCACCACCGTCGCGACGGCCCCGCAGCGGGCACCCGTCCCATCTGATAAAAACAGATCTGTGCTGCAAGGATGGGGGAACCAGCTCTGACCAAGAGGCAACTCATCCTGGCCTTCCCAGGCTGCCCGCTGTGGGATGCTGTGGGGCTTGCCTGAGCCAAGGGCTGCCTGTCTGCCCCCTCTCCCGGCCTGGCTTTTCCTACATAAACTAAAGAAATCAGGAGCAAAAGCCTCCCTGGGATGTGCTGCACAGGTGGTGATGGGGGTCCGGGAAGCAGCAGCCTTCAGGGAGAGGCACTCACTCAGGACAGCAAAGGAGTTTATTCACCAGAGCTGGGCTGTGCCCCAGCTCCCTGCCAAACTCTGCCAGGAGCAGGCAGGCTGGGATGAACCCAGCCAGGACATGCAGAGAACCAGAGGAGATACAGCTGGGGAGCCCTGGCAGTGCAGAGCAGGAACTCGGAGCCACTGACTCACATCCCCGAGTGCTGAGGGTGCCCAGGGAGCCCGAATGTCCGTCCCACTGCTCGGCAGAACAGCCTCGTGCTGGCAGTGGAGCCGCTCATTCTGCTTCTCTCCAGGCTTCCTGCCCCCGGAAGCTTTTGATGACTGTGTAACACAGAGGCTTAACTGCACCTCAGCTTTCCTTAGCCTCCGGTTAGGCAGGCAAAGCTCTGAGAGCAGGCTGCCTGCAAGCATCAAGACACAATTCCCTCCTCCTCCAACTTCAGCCAACACCCATCCACACAGGGTTGTACAAACATGCAATGATATGTGGCAGGAAGATCACACCAGTGCTTCCAGATGATGAGTTTGCATCATCGAAGAGCTGGAAAGTCCCTTAGGAAAACCAAGGAGATGCTGCAGTACCCACCAATCCCAGGAGCCCCCGTCGTGCCCAGGGGACACTTGCTGAGCCACCACACTGTGCTATTCTCTCGTCCCCAGGCAACACAACCCCAGCCCACCAGGACATGTGCTGGGTCCTTGCCCTCAGAGCCAGCTTCAGTGGCCAAAACCATTCCATGTAAGCAGCTCCACACGGCCACGGACTCCAGCAAAAACAGACTTCAAGGAGTATTGCCAGCCACACCTAGAGCACATTGTAAGCAAACACCAAGCACTAGGTTGACACTGATTTGCAGTAAAACCTGCTGCATTATTGCAATTCAGTTTGGAAATGATGTATTCATGACTCCCGTGTAGCTGGGAATGGGCGGGGTTTGGTACTCCAGAGCTGGAGATGCACATCTGCCCATGCCCTCACACCTCCAGCGTTTTACAGTGTGCATTTGGAGAAGAGCTCTCTTTGGGCCACACAGGCTTCATACACAGGGATACATGTGAGGGTCAAGCACCTTTCTGAAGCTCCAAAGCTGGAGTCCTCTGCCTGCCTAAAGAGGCACCAGCCAGGGTATGTCCAAGGAGCTCACGTGCCCCATATCCCACCCTGCACTCCTCCCCATACCAGCTGCCCCTTGGCCGCAGGGCTAAAATCCTAAAGCACTGAAAGCATTAACAGTCCTGCTCCTCAGGCACTCAGGAGCTGAAGAGACATGGTTTGTGCCCCATTTATTTCTTTATTGTCTCTAAATGCCCAAAAAACCTCCAGGAGTCGTAAGAGGCACACCACTGCTTCTTCCTGACTTTTTAAAATTAGAAACATCAGCTTGGCTTACTGGTACTTACCTCCATGTCCAGAGGATTCCCATGCCGTTAGTGGGATGGCTGGAAAGCAAATATGGAGATTCTTTATGCCACATAAATATTGGCAAAGGGTCCCTCACTGGCACAGGACCATCCCCAGGACTTACAGCAGTAAACCCCATTCCTTACAGACTGATGTGATTTTTTAGCTTTCTCTGTGGTGTGAGGAACAAAACCAGGTGCCAATACGTACAGAATTCCTGGGGGTGGCATTGGGGATATTTAATTATCTTCTCAAGAGATACATATGGTCAGTGTACACAACTGGAAGTGACCAGCCCCCACGCAGCCAGGCTCTGGGGCACGTGCAGCCTCTCTGTTACCACTCATCCAGGTCTCCAGGCTCCAGACATGCAGGAATGAGGTCTCTTGAATCCATATTAAAGCGCTTAATTTTTAAGAGCGCCCTAAGAACTAAACTGAAGAGCTGTCCTTAACTGCTGCTCTGAGGAAAGAGAAAGGCTGTGATGGGGAAAGGAGTGAGGTAAGAGTGCTCTCCTCAAATGTGCAGCTGAGATGCTGGCATAAGCACCACTTCCCTTGCACTGCAGCCAGCCAGTGCCAACACACCTCCAGGTAGAATAACAAAACAAATCCACAAACTAAAGACAGATCTTGTTCATAGCTCACAAAATGATACACATACACACGGACAAGTTATCAGAAAAGGCATTATATTTTGGTTTCCACCTTAGTTAAAACTGATTTTGGTTTTCAATTAATCAGATCTGAGTACGTCCAAGTTCAGGTTTCAATGTTTTTTTCCCCATAACAGTAATGATCTGGATGACCATAATTATAAAAGGGACGGGGAGAAATCCCGAGAACAAGTTACATAGTCTGAACTGTGCTCTCTTCCACATGAGCACTCTAGGGAATGTTATTTTCAGTTCTTCCTTTTTTTTTTTTTTTTTTTTTTTGTTTCTTCCTTCAGGTTGTTACTAACAAAAATCTCTACTGTTTATTAAAGCAAAGCTACAGTAAATTTTCTTGCAGTCTTACAGCAGGTTTTCATATTACCAGTAGGACTCGCATGCATGGATTGCAGTCACACACACACGCTCACAGACATTATACAGTAGCCAGTTGCCACCATTAAAAAAAAACCGAAAAGAAAGAAAACAGACATTCATTTCTTTAAGTGGTCATCATTAGAATCGCACCAAATTTTTGGATAAAAAAAAAAAATACTGCACAGGTCTTCCACATCTACAAGGTAAATCATCCCTTTCGCCATGGACGGAGCTCTCGTCTCCATTTGTTCAACATGCATCGCTAAAGCTTGAAGGCACGCTGGCCAAGGAGAGCCCTGTTCTTTTGTCATCTGAACTCCAGTGTGCTGCTATCGGGGTGCAAAAAAAGGACAAAAATAAAGCCAAGCCCTTTTGCAGCACACCGGGAAAAGGTCATTCGGAGACCACAGTACTTGGAAGGCAGCCCAGCTGCCTGGATTCTACTGCTAACTGTGCTCTTGGAGGCATTGAAGGAACACGCTTGTGTTTAAAAATGACACATAAAGGCAAATTTCTGCAAACCCTTTCTTTTCAAACTGCCTAAGGTAGACTAACACTCCTTCTAGAAGAAACTGGTCCTTCAGTCACCAGCTTCAAGTGGGAAATTTCCTACCTGCTGTATTAAACACTGAAGCACCAGAGGTTATAGGGCTGATGTGTTTGGGCATTCACCAGTTCAGGGAAACTTAACATCAGGAAAAAAAAAAAAAAAAAAAAAAAAAAAAGAAAAGAAATCCCCAATGCCTCAAGAGCATTATATCAAACCAGAACTCTTGGGCTACTGACTGCCGGCACTTTCAGAAGCTGCTTGCTTCTGGGAAGACACCTGGAGGTTGAAGCCTTATGGTGATGTGGTATCCTCCCAGGGTGAGATTTGCTGAGTTTTACTGATTGCAAGATAAAGCAGTGTTTCGGAAAACTAAAACCAACAAACTCATAATAACCATCACCAAAATCACCGTTGGAAAAATTCCATTCTTTAGAAGGTCTCATTGAGAAACATCAGTCCCTGCTCCACGGAACAGGGCAGATACGATTAACAAAACCCAGAGTGACCCGTCCCCCACAAGCTGGGCCTTCGAGGTCTAGTCCCCATATTGTATTGGAGGGGAGAAAGAAAAATAAACAAAAAAAAAGAAGGTTGTATCACCTTTTCCTCCTGTTAAAGTTTTAATCCTCTTATTCCATTTTTATTTGTTTTTTTCCCCCGATTCTCCCTTCCACTCTGCACCTTAGCTGGGGGAGTTATTGGTACAAGAGTTTGGAGAGTCCTGCTCATTTATTGTGTTCAAGAGTACACACACCGGCTGCCGGGGCAGGTGGTGGTGGCTGTGTTCGCGGTGCTGCTCCTCCGTGCCGCTGAAAAGCCCTTCCTCCTCGTCCCCGTGGGGACGGCCGCTGCAGCTGTCGCAGAAGTCCAGGGGCCCGTCCAGAGCGTCGTCGATGAGCCCGTCGAACTCCTTGAGGTCGTCGTCGTGATGACCCCGGTTGCATACGCAGACCTCTATGCCCGAGTCGCCGGTGAAACGGCGCTGCCTGCCCGGGGTCTTGTCCTTGGCGTCGGGAATGGCGCTGCTCTGCTCCAAGCTCTCAGAGCTGTAACCTTTCAGCAGTTCCTCCTTGCACTCCGTATCCTTATCAGGACCGGCCCTCTCCACCAGCTCGGCCCCTGTGCTGGTACCGCCGGGCTCCACGCTTTGCATTTTGGCGACGGCTCTCTCGCCCAGCACGGTGGTGGAGGGCTCGGGGTCCCCGCGGCCGGGCACCGCGCTGCCGTCAGTACTGCTGTTATTGCTGCTGGGTGCTGCAGAGCTGCTCTGTGCTGGCTGCAGGGTCCTGGGCGTGTCCGGGATTGTGCTACTGCTGCCTGCTGGGACACACTGCTGATGTAAGGCACTGTACGGGGGCGGGGGGGTCGGCGGTCGGTTCACCACTTCCTCATAGGGAGGTAGCAAATAGTTTGGCAAAAACCCTAGAAGTGGGAGGCAAGGAGGAGAAGTTATTTCAGGAGCAGTTTATCTCAGGAAACGAGTCACTAATACAGGTCAGTATGGCATTTGTCACCGACCAGCACCTTCCCACTGAACAGCACAACAGGCTCTACAAAGGGGCGCCAGAACTTGTCCCACGTGAGGAATGTCGTGTTTTAGAGAAGCAGCAAACACACCAGAGGAGGGCACCATTACAGGAGGAGATGGATGCAACTGGGAACAGCAGCCTGATCTCCTGGCTCTCTCTATACTTACCAGGCAAACCTCCCTGGACCGTGTACCCCAACACAGCCCCATAAACCACACTGGGGGATGGCCTGTGTTGGCTGGAGGGAACAACTCCCCAGCCCTCTCCAACACTCCCTTCTGAGCGGAACTTCCACTTTCAAGAGCAAAGATTTAATCTCACAAAGCATCATGCAAATATGAAGAGACATGGGCAGTTATAAGGAACTTGAAGATCCTGGCTTTTGGTTGCTGTTTTAATGCTGGATTCAATTCTTGTGGTGCAGTCAGAATAAATTGGCAGCACTGTCAAAAGAGTTTGGCTTATTGTACTTACTTTCAAACCCATTAAAAATTTTGTTTATTTCTTAAGAGGCAACAAAATAGTCTATACAGACAGAATGTACTTAAACACTGGAAACATTTAAGGATAGCACTGCAATTTTCCATGTGCAATTGCATATCCCTGGGGCTGGGGAGGAAAAGGCTGCTGGGGATGATTTCTGAGGTGACTGCCAGAGTTTAACAAGAAAAGCAAGTTCATACATTCAATTCAACAGTCTGTCAGAGGAAACTCAGCTGTGGCACCTCACAGTCAGAAGGAGACTTGCTGTTCTAGCACAGCACAGCAGAACACAAGGAGAGCACGAAGTGATTGTACTTTCCCTGAGTTGTGGGCAACAGCTTCTTTATGCAAAGTCCTAGGGCTGCTCACCAGCAGTGTGGCCTGAAAACCACAGCACAGGGGGGGAGCCAGCAGAGTCTCTGCTGAGACTCCCCTTTCTCCCAGTCTGTGTGACCAAATTTTGGGAAGCCACTTCCCACACCTCAGTCCCACAAGTAGCAAGTCCAGGCTGGAAAGGAGGAACATCCACAAAGTCCTGAATGAGGTACGTAAAGCACCTTTGCAGAAAAACACCCAGGGAATCACTACACTCTCAGGGGTGGGTGTGAAGGTGCTGTACTTGGTGTGGTTCAACTCCAGACTCAAGGGGTTTCAAATGCATCCAACACCATCTCCTCTCTGCACAACATGGTTAGGCAGCAGAGCTCCCACAGGCTCCTGCTGAGCCCGATTCCAGCTCCCTGGCTCCACCTAACACGGGCAACTCGCTGCTGCCGTGCTCCCCCCGCCTCCAGGCAAAGCAGTGTGAGTACGTACGGAAATAGAAGGGCAGGGCTGAGTAGTTGTGGGCCTCGCGGTAAGCGATCAGGTTGATCTCGTGCTGCCGCTGCTGCGCCTGCAGGCGGTGCTTGGTGCGGCGGTGATGGCAAACGCAACAGCAGCTGAGGATGATGATGATGGTCCACACCAGCCAAAACCCTGCAGCAGACGAGAGTGAGTGTTAGCCATTGTGTGAGAGCTGTATCCAAATGCAGGAAACCCCAAGAAGCCAATGGAGAAGATAATCTGAAAGCCTGAACGTGCACTGCTCTAAAGGTAGAAATGTGTGTTAGGCCAGGAGGCTTCAACACTGACCTTCCTGCCTGTGTGGGACCCTGCCAGTCCAACAGCCTTGCCAGAAATGGATAACTCTGAATGTGCTTTGGTAGAATGTGGGTCATGTTCAATAGGTACAAGTCTGGAGAAGAACCAAATACGGAGACAGGGCTCCCCCCTCCATTGCTCCTACCCTTTGGTTACCATTTCTTCTAGCCAAAAATGAGCAGAGCTGTGAATAGCATTGAGCTTGCCTCCCACAGTCACTTTGGTTTGAAAATAACAATCAAGACACAAAAGACACTCTGCAGATTGACCACAGAAGAAGAGAAAAACCCCAAGCACTATGTTTCGCTTTTGTTTGCACTGCTCTTTAATTTCCAGCCCAAATCCTTCATTGTTATGTTTAACAAAAACATGCTCTTTTTTCATAAATGTCTCAAAATATTTTTAAAACTTATTTTTGTATTCAATGTCTTAAATTATCCAAAATTAAATTAAACTAGCCTCCCTCTCTGAATCCTCAAGAAACCTAACTTCTGCTCTGTTTGTGGTCACGGCTGGTTTCTGTGCACTGCCGTACCGTATGTACACTCCTCCTTAAAAGGGAATTTTAAAAGGCCACTTCCTGAATTTTACCCACGCCCTCCAACATGTGGAATAACTCTCCCTTTCCACAAATTTCCCACTTGCATGCACTACAAAATGTTTCCGAGACACACTTCAAAAAGCTGGAACACTCACTCCACATGGAGCTTTTGTCTCCTGCAACTGCAGCCCGACCTACCCCCTGTGTCTGTAAGCTCTATCTTTTTTAAGCTCAGTTTTTGCATCTAAAGACACAGGGAGAGCTTTTCCTTTAGAAACACATAGGCTTGGCAGCCACTCCTCGCTAGAGATCACAACACTGTTTTTCTTTCTGTAACACCTCTGCCACTCTTCACTATTCCCAAGCAGTCAAAATGGAGATTCCTAATGCCACAGCCCATTTTCAGGTTGGCCACTCTGCCCTGTGGTATCAAACTGCTCTTCTCTCTCCACTAAAAACCTCTAGTCATGCCTTTACAATATCTTGATGTTTTCAGCATCCCCTGCTGTGTTTGCTGTGTTTTCTCTGCTAAGAGCTAGGTGGGGAAAGGTGAACAGTTTAGGAATTTGAAGAATGAAAGGAGTATTGCTCTGGCTGAGGACGAAGGGCAGTTGTATCATCCATCTCAGAGACCTGCACTGTGCTGTTTGTAGGGGAACTGGATGTGCCGTATCGTGTCTCTGAGCATTTGGAGTGGGGACTTTCACCTCCCTGTGTCGTAACCCGAATTCCTCATCTATTTTGGCACAGCAAACTGAAATCTCTCTCCTGCCTTGTGCAATCTATTTCCCTAATCAACTGGAACCTGCCTTACCACCAAACTTATCAAAACCTGCCATCAAATGAAGGTGTTACATATTCCCCCACCCCCTTTTTTTTTCTTGGCTGGAAATGAAGGTTCCTGGGTAGTTTCTCTGGCCAGCCTGCTCAGCTGTACCACGCTGACCAGAGAAGAGACTGTGGTCTTCACTCCAGAGAAGCAAAGGACAAAGTACTCAAGATGCTCTCCACACTTCCCAAACCAAAATGAGAATGTGGACACTGGCCTCCGAATACCCTCCTGTTTCTAAAAAAAGCCTTTTTATATAAACTAGAAGGACTGATCCAGTCCATCCTTCACTCCACAGCCAAACATTTGCAACAATTTCTGTAGCCTCTATCACTTCCAAAATCTTGGTACACAAACGCAATACTTCAACTGTCTAACAGTTTGAAGACTCTCACCAGTAAATACACTTTATTTCTTGCTAAGAGAAGGTCCCTTGGCTCTTGCCTGCTGAGGAAGCAAGAATACACTCATCAAAACCAGGTCATTGGCACAGCATGGCACCATGCACTGAGGCAGGCCTGCAGTTCATCTTCTAAGTACTCCTTATTTTCAAAGAGCAGTCCATGATCATGAGTTCAATAACAATGGAAAATTACACCCAGCTATCCAGGGATTTTAGCTACATTTATGAAAACAGATGCTTTTTAACACATTTGATCATGTCCTTTCCCAAGGACTCTAGATACAATGGTAGCAAGCAGCACTTAATTAGTTAAGATGTCCTGGAGAACTGCCACTGTTAAGCAATCTCAGCTGTAGCAGCCAAATATTTCTGCAGGGAATAACTGCTCCCACCCAAGCCTGCATCCAGAAGATTAAAAAAGTATTTCTTTAGAAAACTTCTCTACCCATTCCAAAATAAAGTCCCAAAGTGCTTTGCACACAAGCTGATGCACAAGCTCAGAGTAGGGGTCAGAGTAAGCGCAGCCATTCCTGCAAAGAGATGTGGCAATTCTGTTAACAACATGCAGCAACAACATACAACAGCTTAGGATAATAAATTGATGTTGGAGCCTACTGAAACCGCAGGTGGCATTTAAGTAAACACACCATAATTTAGTGGATTGCAATTTGGCCTCGGTGCCAGGAACAACACCTTCATTCTCCTGCAAAGGGTCTGTGCACGCTCGCAAATGCGAGCAGATGAGATCTGTTGTTTTTCATGAGAACTTCCAGAAAAAGAACCCACTAATACCACATTATTGCCTGGTTTCATTAACTGCTGACACTTCCTAGAGCTTCTAGGAATTACTCAACCCCTGACTCAGCATGAGCCTGGATGGAGGACTCAGCACAAGCCTGGAGGACTTGCCTGGATGATCACAGGGGATCAGCAGCATGTGCCCACCAGAGTAATTTGCTGGCCTGGCTTCTGGCACCCTCTCTCATGGCTGTGTCCCCATCCTGGCACCCAACAGCACATCTGCACCACTGGAAAGCCCCCAGTGCATCGGAAGCAATCGTATAGGACACCCACAGGAGCTGAGGCACATGAGGGGCTCCCTGGCTGTCACATGGGCAGAGGTGCCAGTGCTGGGAGAAGGACTGGGCACAGCTCTGGTTGCAAGCCCAGTATGGTGGTGGGAGTTCAGGGCCTCCATAAAAGGTTCTACAACACTCCCTTGCCAGGAGTTTGGGCACAGCTGGTTTTGGCTGCAGAACAGAAAATTGCAAAAGCCTAGAAAATATATAGTATGGTCATTTATTTGGAATAAAGCTATCTCCAAGGCCAAGTGCAATTGTAAATATTATGTCTCAAAGTATGGAGTGAACAGTGAAGATGTTCATGGCTGAGCTGTGCATTTGTACACCTGGTGAGGCTTGGCTTCAAACCAGCAGCAGGGAGGTAAGCCGAGCAGAGCACTGGCCCGTGCAGCCAGCAGCTCATTTGGCAGGAGGGGAATTGCAAATTCACCCAAAGACAACACTACACGAGCAGGAGCCAAGCACAGCAGCAGCACACACTAACACCTCCTTCAGGGTAAAAACAGGTACTAATTCTGCCTTGTACTGAAAATGGGTAAGATGTACAGAGGCAACTGAAGTTTGCATCAAAAAGCCTCTAAAAGCCAAGTAAAACTGAGCTTCTGGTTGTCTACAATGTCCCCAAAAACCTTCACTGTTGCCAAACGCCTTCCTCTTGCTCTTCAAGATGTTTTTTCTTCCCAAATGGATACAAGCTGTTTTTCACCAGCATCGGATTGAGCTACCAGTGCACTCACTGGAAAAGGAGAAATGATTGGGAGACACATTCTGAGCCAAATTTGCCACTAAATGTCTGATTTGAGAGTTTTTTCCACAGCCACCTGGCAGTGACCACTGGGAACAAAAGCCTGCGACAATCTTACGACAACATGACAGATAAAAAACAACCAGTGACTTTGGAAATACTACTTCTGATGGACAGCCAGAGCAGAAGCAAAGTACCAGTCTGCAGCAAACAGGCACAGGAGACCATTAGACTTGAAGGCAATTTCAGTCTTGCTCTTGGTTTATGGAAGAGTCAGAAGCTGCAACACAAAACAACTCAGTCCTGAGAAACACTGATACATTTTTTCTTGAATTCACTGGTGATGCCTACAGACGGATAGTGATGGAAGCAAAGGTGAAACAGACACGGCCGGGAAGCTGATTGTTGCCAAGAGATTTCCCTGCCAGAGCACCAAAACCTTTAATAAAAGAATCAGCAGCCATCTGTAAGCTCAGAGCTGTAAGCTTGACATGAGCACAAAGCTCAGGAAGTCAGAATGGAAGCTGCAAAAACACCTGGGAATGGAATTAGGTCCCGTGAAAGCCATCTCTCACAACCAGAGGAAATACTGAAGAAAGAGAAGGCTGCTGCTATGTTTACAGCATTCTTGGGAAAGGGAGCTCCATCACAAGGTCATACACCAGAGATGTTTCTTACCAGCTGTGAAAGAACATGCTTAATGCTTCAAGAAAACCCCTTCTAGGACATTAATCATAGTTTTGATCAAACTTTAAAATAAGTAAGAATAAAACAGTTTAATAATTAAAAAACCAGAGCACTCCTTCCTCATGAAAAAGGAGGGAGCAATGTTTGCTTTGATGCTGTACTGCATTTGCTGCCTGGGATGTTGCCATCAGCAATGCCGTTGAGGGAAGCTCCTTTTATCCTGTGCAAAATGGAAAATGTTTTCTGGAGCGTTCCAAGGGTATGAACAGAGAAATTTGCCCTCAAGTTCATGGTAAACTTGGGCAAATGCCATGGCTCTGTTGGCAGGAAATCCCCTAAAAGCAAGCCAAAACATACTGCAAAGTGCCTTTGTGTCTGCCCGACAAGCATCTGGGTAATAGCTTTGGCTCCATGAGAGCTGGTTCTGAACAGAAGGAGAAGTGGGACAATTTCATTGACTAAGAAGCATCCCAAATGGTGGCCTCACAGTCAGTCATGGCTGGAAAAAAATTGTCTTTCACAGGGCCAACACTATAATCAAAAAAGGG